TTCTTTCAGGGGACTACAACTACGTCAAATGAAGTAGTACGTGCTTCAGAAACGTCATCCGCGATATCTTGATTCGCTGAAAACCGTAGGAGAAAGGCCAGCATTAGTACTAGTTGATTACAGTAGCTTGCAGCAAAAGCGTGCAGATGAACTAAAACACCAACAATACAGCTCGGCCTCTGCTAAGAAACGCGTGGCTCAGGCTTTGTTTGACCCCGTGTAGAAGACAATACCGACTTTAAGATCCAACGACGCGACGGCAATGAGAGAACGTCGCTTAAAAAGTGAATTTGCGTTCTTTCAGTCGTAAACGCAATTATTCCTACCCACTTACTTTGACTACTTTGTCAAATGTAGGCGAACCCTCCTGGTGTTGAATTTCTTGGGATCATATCCAAGTACAGAAAGAGAAATAAAATTTACGTCCTCCAACACGCAATTGGGCACTTTCACGTCGTAGACGTGCAAAAACGGGCAAAGAAATGTACAAAAAAGGGTGACGCACATGCAAAGCTTTTGTTTTGCTTATAAAGCCTATTGTTTTTTTTTTGACGTTGTCGCTGCCTTCCGCGTCGTTGGACTTTAAGTCTCCAATATGACAGTAGCTGATTTCTTTTCTACCCTAAGCTATACCTGTGTGTAACGGTAAAGATATTGGCTTTCCATCCTGAGTACCCTACTTGAGACCAGAGCGCCGTGAGACCTTAAGACCCTACGCGAGACCCAGTATCCGCTTGAGACCTAAGGCTCAGTTCGCACCCTACCGGATCAGGTGCTGACATGAAAATTTATCCGCTGTAGTATGAGCAGCAACGGTCCGATGCATGCGGCACATTTCAGTCCTTGCTCCTGCTTATTCACGGGGGGGGGGAAGGGGATCGGCGTGGTGCATCTTCGATCCGTCACAGAAATCGCGCTGGTCAAAAGCACTGTTCTTACGTGTGAAAAGAAGCTTTATCCGTATGATTTTCGTGGCAGCGCGAACGTTATCCGGTATAGTGTATAGTAAATCTGCAATCGAGACTATAAGCATCCCCGTCATTTTCGCTCCACACCGATGCCCCCAAACGGGCAGCCCATTGAGGAGCGGCGGGGGGAGGGGGGAGGGGGCGGTGTTGACACTCCGGACTATTTCACTGTTTCATATGGGGAGTTGACTAGGGCCACATCAGTTACAAATCGCTCAAGCCATTTTAACCTTAAAGCGTTCAGTCTAGTATTTTTTTGTAAGAATAAAAATGGTTTCAAAATATACCAACCTTCTCTCACCGTGGAACAACATAATGACGAGGACTGTAAAACCAAAACCATTAGCGAACCAGCGAGAGCAAGTATAGCAGGAACGATGGAAAACACATGACGCACATAATCACTCGCACTGGAGACAGAGCTGCAAGCATTAAGAAATAAATTTTTAAAAAATTAACACATGGAAAAATGGGCCGTTTTTCCTCACAAGATAAACACATGACAATAGTGATTTACGTCTGGTTAATTTCTTACGGCATGATTTATGATACCGTCGAACCTTCCCTTATCGACCCCCTTTTTTTTGTCCTGGCAAACAAAAAAGCCATACATTGACTCTTGTTTAAAACCTCTGTATAACGGCACCTCTTTACAACGGCCAAGGTGGTCGTTGTAAAGAGGTTCAACTGTAGTCTTGTACGGCAATCTCCTTGTTTTGTTACCAATTTGACTATTATTCCTTGACATAAAGTTCATCATTAATGGAAGGCCCACCAAGCGAAACTTTAAGTATAACAATATCAATCGAATATCAGTTGCCTTGTAATTCTCTTATGTAACAAAGTTTTTCCAAAACCATTTAGCGCACTTTATGGTGAAAGTGTTACCAGTTATGGGTCTCTCTAGGCCCCGCATATTCGAAACGCGCCTTTTTTTGAAAGCAGATTTTGAAGGTAACTTTAAAAAGTTACGTATTTCTCTACGTAGAGCGACCGCATTCGAGCGCGCGCGAAACGGCTCCTGATGTATACTTGTAGTATACATTTTCTTCTGGCTTTCGTGAATATTAACCGGCGGGGCGAAGTGTTGAAATAGCTCTGTCCATAGAAGCTGACTGTGCTAATAAACAAAGGCGCCTTGTATATTAATTGATCAATATTTATCATACCCGTCTTCTGGATAAAATTCTTGGATAGTCATGAACAATGCCCCGCTAGACAGTCTTCCTATAAAAACAACGATGGCGAATACCGATCCACTGGTTTCCTGCAAATGAAATATAAAGTAATCAACAGTACAATAAAAATGCTTCGTGAATCCTAGGAATATGTTAAATTTTTTTTCGTTTCATTTTTTTTTTTCATTTTACCGTAAGTTTTAATATTGTAGAACGTTTTCATATTCTGCAGCTTTTCAAATATCGTGATTTTTAAAGTACTCAGTTTTTAATTTGTCGTTTCCTTGTACATCATGACTTATCTCTTCTCTTAAACGCTGAACTAAAAGTTGGATTTCCAACAAGTTTCTTTGATAAAATATGATGCAGATAAAAAGCGTTGCCGGTTTGATCTTAAGCAAAAATGGCCATTAATTATAACTAAACACATCACATATCATAAGTAGGTTGAGCGTGATTGTCTGGGTGAACTCTGATGTAGTCCTGAACAGGACTTTTGTTGACGGTGACTGACGTTTCGACAACCTGTGCGGTAGTCATTTGTGCGGTAGTCAAGATGGCTATTGTGTCTACTGCACAGGTTGTCGAAACAGTCACTGTCAAAAACAGTCCTTTCAGGACTACGTTCATCCGGACGATCCTGTTCAACCTACTTATGAAATTAATGACTCCTGGGTTCAAAAACTTTCACAACACAAATCATATTAAGGACCTTAAGATCCGAGGACGGCGGCGGCAGAGAAAACGTGGCTAAAAAAGTGAATTCGCGTTCTTTCAATCTTCATCGCGATTACTCCAAGTCACTGACTTTGTCAAATGTAGGCGAACCATCCTAAAGTTGAATTCCTAAGAACCATATTCAAGTTCAGAAAGAGGAAATTTCGTCGTCGCTTTTGTACTTCCTCACGACTTTCTGTACATCGTGAAATTAGGCATTTTCACGTCGTAGTCGTGCAGTGACGGCAAAGAAATCTACAAAAAAGCGTGATGCACGTGCAAAGTTGTTGTTTTGCTAATTAAACCTATTGCTTTTGTGGCGTTCCCGTTGCCGTCGTCGTGGTCGGATCTTAAGGTCCCTATTCAGTAGATTTTCTTGTGAAGATTAAGCTTGTATGGGAAGTCATACCTTATCATCTCCGATGACTTCTGTACATAAAGTTAAAGCTATGACGTACATGATAGACATGCCGCAGCCTATCAAGATAACGGGCGCATATGTGGCTTCTTTTAGATCCTCGGTTTGGAAATAGCAGTAAACTGATGGACCAATCACAGAGAGGGATGCAATTAGATACGTCCACTATAAAGGAAAAATAATGAAATATAATGAAGAATAAATTTAAGGCAATCATGCTGCAACTTAGCTTTCCTTCCTTAGAAAAGTTTTCTCTTTTTTTATAAGTTCCTCTGTCATTAAACGATACGGGATTTTTGTGACCTTTTCCAACTTAATTTAAATCATTTCTTCGTTTTTGAATGCAGGGCATCAACTGATCTGTAAAAGTATTATTAAAGGTAATAAAGGAAATTTAATTTTATAGTTCGAGAGGAAAAGTTTAACAAAGGACAAAGCCAATTGATCACTTATTTTTCTGCTTTACCTTGCTCCCCAGTTTGGTGTTAAGTTTGTCTGAAATAGTGCTTCCAACAGCTGCACTGACAAGAAGGACAAGGGGAAAGTAGGCAATGGATTGCTGGAAATTAAAGAGCAAATGCAGAAAAAGCTGATTAAAATACAATTTACAATGGATTACTGCAAAAAGACAGAAAAAATGCTGACTAAATTGAAGAAATATAATTTGAAAATAATGTTATTAGCTGCAATAATAATTTTATCACGCGGTCATTTCTTTTCAAGTCACGTGGTTCGTCCTAGATACGTTATCGATATGCGTTACGAACATTGCAATAGCCAGGCAAAGATCTCAGGATCCCTGCCCGGCTACAAAAGTCTCATTACAATATAATTGAAAAAATGATACCATCAAGTAGCAATTAGTGAGTGAGCTATAAGCCTTGGTTTGTATGGTTACAATTGTGGTCTGCATGCGGCGTGATAACAGTCTTGGTTTTTTTCTTTTAAAAGTAAATTATCTTCAGCAAGGAGCCCATCATTTTAATACGCGACAAATATTCGTTTCCAGTCCAGTCACATCAAGATAAACCAAGGAAATGCAGGACCGTAAAGGTCTGGAAAACGTTCCCAGAAAGACAAGAGGAGGTTCAACAATGAATTTTTGAATTACTTTACCTTTCCAAATCCCAGTCTTTCTGTTAAGTACAAAGGCAAATATGCATAAACTGCATCCTGCACAAGGCGAGAACACGTGACGACAATAGCGACCTGTCAATGAATTGATATCAGTCTCATTTAGTTTTTTACCCAGAACAACTTGGAATACTCCGCGTATAGCAACTTCGCCTCTCCTTTCTAAGGCCAGCTTCGTATACAGAAAAAAAAGCGAAATAAAATTCCTAAACAACGTCTCTTACTGGGATTTGAACAACATTTGATGTAAATAGGCATGGACTACATGACCTGAAACAGCTGTTTCTGCGTTGTTGATGGTCGCGATTGCGCGGGGCATGCGCACTGGGCGTCAAACGTAAGGTCTGAGAACTAGAGTGAAAATGGGGAGTTAAAGAGGGTAGTGACTGGAATGGATACCTAAAAATCAGGTTAGACATTCAAATTTATTACATGGGCACATTTTTGAGAAAAATGGTAGAAGACAACATCTAGTGATTTTGATCGGTATCCATTCTAGTCACAGATCCTTTTGGAAATGCTTAAAATAGTATTGTTAGTTCTGTTAGATCACCTTGTAAACGCGAGGATCTTTTAACCAGTCTTTTATAGTCTTTTGTTTCCTTTTCGTGGAACTCGTAGCTGGCGTTGGTTTTCAGTTATATCGTTGGAATCATCCTCTGTCGTCTCCTTCTCAGATCCGTGCTCTTCGTCAACAAAAATTTCTTTCTTCTCACTTTCTGTCTTCGCTAATGACACAACTCCCATTTCAGGAAATTCAAGCACTTGGTCACAACCTTTAATGGGGTAATTTCCCCTGTACACAGGGTCATGAATTGTGTCTGACTGTGCAATCGTTTTCATTTCTTCATTAAAATGGTCGGAAATTATCTCGGACCTATTAAGAGCGTCAGTGGCTTCTTTCTCGGATGCCACTCCCCTCTCAATTCCGTAGGTTTGATCGTCTTGGTATCCAGAGTTGTATATTCCATCCGTATTAAAACCTCCAGGAGACATCAAAATGCCTTTTTTCCGCCGACGTTCCTTCTTTTTGGTAGTTCCATGTAACTCATCATTTCCTGAAACTTCCGAGTCAGCTTCGTGTTCTTCCATTATTTCCGTTTCCCCGGTTTCACTGCTGTCGAGTTGGCTGCAAAATTAAACCGGCAAAAAAAGACAAGACGGATTACAATGTGCTGTTATAGGCTTTACGGCTGAGATGGGGGAGATGGGCCTATTTTCCCGCTAAACTTCCCAGTTTTTTGTCAGAAGAAAAAAAAATGTTTTTGTCATATAATAAATCGTTTATTATACTGAGTTCGTAACCCCGGCCGACAGGGCTTAACTTGACTGCCGTTACCACACCGAATTTCGCGAGGGTTATTGCGAGATACGTATTTCTAGTTATACTGATATTGATTACGCTGAAAATAACGAGTATATCATGAAAATCATATATAGGAACCGCGGGATGAAAGAAGATAATCGTAGTTAGGTCGTCGAACTTTTCATGAGATGAACCAAACTCTAATTTGGGTCGACCTAAATTAAGTTAAGATCGTCTGTTGGGTCAAACGTCGAACTTAGGACGCACCGAACCAATCAACTGAATCAGACCAAAAAAGGAATTTTAATATTAAATTATCTCCCAAACGATCAGGGGCACCCAACGACAATTTTCGGAAAAATATCTGTTCGGAAGACGATTTGAGATCTAGAATTTTCGAAACATTTGTTGAAAAATTTCTTGCTTGCCTGCCTCTCCTAGGACTTTCGAACATCTAAAAAATGGTATAATTGCCCATTTCTAACGGATTTTTATCCTAAAAAGGTCACCTAGAATTTTCGAAAAGGTAAGTTTTGGTCCCTATAATTTTGGGATCACTAGACTTTCAGCTAGGAAATCCGAACAGATGAAAAATTTTTAGGGGATGAAAATATGCCTATATCTACCGTTTAAATACTAAAATACGTTTAACAATGCTATGTTTAAGTGGTTTTGAACTATATTCTCGTTGGGTGCCCTTGAACGATGTTAAATATATATTGTGGTTCAATTTTATCCTTGGTTACAGTCTATTTCCCTTTGTTTTCGGGTATAATAATGTATGATAATGAGTTTAAAACAAAGGAAAATAACATTTTAACCAAGGATTAAATTGAACCACAATATAGACATTTATCAGACAAATTTTTAATTTATTAGTTTGGTTCGTCGCATGAGAAGATCGACGATTGTATCGGAGACCATCTTCAGACGTTCTATCCGTCTGAAGCAGACGGCCGCGTGGTGGACGACCCAAACTCATTCAGACGAACTTAACTGAGCCAGACGTCGAATTTTTCATGAACTTGACTCACTAATGAAAAGTTCGACATTAACGTTTTACGGTGAGACATGCACTCTTTCGATTGGCTGCATTTAGTTACAGCGTCACCGCTCTAAGCGTCACTGTACTACTAACAGTGAAAAGTGTTTTCTTAAGCTTACCTGTCGCTGAAATTATCAGTTTCAAAACTTTCCATGCTTGAATTATCAGTTTCAAAACTGTCCGTGCTTGATTTGTCGAGTTCAGTGTGTCCTCCGTTGGTGGAAACTACAGACTCTTGGAGTTGGCTTACATGTTGTGTCTTATGAATGAGCCCGTTTATCACACGTAAGACGAGACTCTGTTTTCGATCGCTGTCGAGCCTTTTCACATGTTCAATCAGGTCTTTAAAAAGAATGAAAACATGCATAAATTACTAAACTTTAATTTCTCTTGTAAGCCTTTTAGACAATTGAGCATCTCGAAAATTGATTCCGACTAATAAAGTTCGACGTCTGAATCAACCGTCGAACTTGTATTACGATTTGGGTCGACCTAAATAGATAAGTATTAAGTTCCGAGGTACATAAAAGATCGACGTTTGAACCGGGCCTAAGTCTCGTTTTCAAAGTAGAGTTTTTAGAACTAGGAAATGGCCTATTTCATAGTTGTGCATGTTAGGTGAACTAGTGCATGTTTTCTGATTACCTCACATTATAGGCTTGTCGCCGCGTGCAGCATTAGTTGCAAGAAATCACTATTGTATGCCCGTACGTAGGGATACGCCCCCGCCCACCTCCAGCAGCTCCCCCCAAAACCCCTTAGTCAGATATTTTGCTACACAGATCTCACTACCTTTGTTAATTTGTAAGTATGAAAATGTGGGGACCAGATAAGTCAGAAAAGAATGAGTGATTCAACTTACCACTTCCAGGTTTTACAATTGGTTTTTCATCTTTGACTTCAGAAACTTGAGGCTCTTCTTCTGCCGAACTGTCAGGAGTATTAAACGCAAAGAGAGCTTGGGTAAATCGTTGAAGCAAACTCGTCTTTCTCATCATCTCATCTTCGAGATCTCTTACTTCATCCGTGGCTTTTTCGATGTCGTCTTCTTCACTTCTCACCGAAGACATAAGATTGTCAACAAACGAAAGAGCTATGGCAGAAGTTTTCCTCCTGACATCTTTCGGTAGAAAAAACAAATAAACAGAAAGGGTTAAAACATTAAAACAAACTACGAGCAATTTTTGACTGTATACTTCTTAAACGACTGAATATATTTTAAAACAAGATTAAACAATGCTAAATGTTGAAACAATGATTTACTTGTGTTGACTACGTATCACCTCGAAAAGACGGTTATGCCACTGATAATAGACTTAAAACCCACCTTCAGCAGTTTCGAAAACAGCCGAATAAACAGTCTTGCCAGCCTCGAATAGTCCACCGACGCCCTAGACATGGATAGAATCGGGTTAATTTTTTTGTGGTTAAGGATGCTAAATATCCATTTATCCCGGCTGAACCTCAATGTCTGTTTCAAGTTTCTAACGCGCGCGAGCGAGGTCGTTTTTAACTTCGATCCGCTCAGAGATGCATTAACAGGCATTTACACTGTACCTTTTTAGACGCCTTCCAACGTAGAGTTTATAAATTAAAAAATATATTGTTGGCTTGAAACGACTTCTTTATGCGACTTACAACACAAATTGAAAATACCTTTGTAAGCACAAAGGAGTAATCGAGCGCTGCCTGAAGAAATTGCTCTTGAAAGACAATGTTTCGACGTCAGGTTTAATTGTTAGACCTCCGGACACAGAATAACTAACTAGGGTTAAATTCCAGTGTTTTGACTTACTGCAGGATCCATGAGTGAACTGAGCTTCCTTAGTGGGCGTAAAGCCGCTTCCTTTGTGCCAATGTAGAAAATAATTTGAAAGAAAACTCCAGTGCCTGTAGTAATCCCAGCGAGATGCTGTGTGGAGAGAAAAAAAAAATGTATGAGAAAATTAATCTTAATGAAGGAGCTCTGTTTTGTTTGGGACGTTTATGAGTTCTAGTTGATTGTGACTCATTCTTTGCTAAATCTAAAAAAAATTATACCGCGTGAGTAAATTGGTTAAAATATCATTTACCTCTGAAGATCAGATGCAACCCTGCCCTCAATACAAACAAATTGATCCCTGTCCAAAGGTATAACGTGGGTGTGGCTTGGCATATAACAGAATATAATAAGTAGTCTTACGCGAAATAAAGAGCATTAACCATCACGTCACGTTAAGATCAAACGTATGTTTATGTACTGTTTAAAAAACGAGCAGGTCGGAGTGCATTATCAGGTTTAATTTAAAAACTGGGGGCGAAGCCGAGAGTTTTCAAACCTGATAATACATGACTACCAGGTTTTTTGAACGGCTTCAAAATCTCTGAGATATAGATATAGATCAACTCATTCTTGCACTAATATTTAGATTTGGGGTTGTTTTAGTCTAAAATATTGAACGTAAAGTTTAGCCGTGTCTTCATCAGATATAAAGACAGTTATTTTTGTTTATGAATTATTAATGAGTTTTTAAAATTTTAGGGAAACTTAACAATAACATAAAAGAGCTCAAAAGACAGTTTTTATCCATTTGCTGACCCGCACGGGAGGCTGGGAGATTTTGGCTATATCCGGAGGTCCTAATCAGTCAAGATTAGTTTGCGGAATTAAGCATTTAAAATTATATAATTCTTATACTCCCCTCTCTTTGTAGCCTGTGAGCAAGCTCTCCGGGGCGCTCTCTTTGCTGTTAGCCTTACGGTGATTGTCACTCGTATGTAATTGCCCCCTTCGTCACTTGATTCGAAGATTTATTTCTCAGGAATACAAAGTTTCACTTTGGTACTTACCGCAAACTGTGTGACATTTTCAGGTCCCAAATGTTCAGCACCATCCTGGCCAAGAAGTCCCCAGGCGACTACATATACATACAAGCCACTCAAGAAACTGAAGACCGTCCTACGTCAAAAGACCAAAGTTGAATAATTCTACGTCTGGTTGATTTAAGCCCTGGTTTGTTTATTTTTTCAGTTTCAATTTCTCTTTTTAGTTGTAATTAAAAGGTATAATCCTGGAACTTCCAGGTTTGTTGCACATATACCATCATATGACACGAGGATACTTTCTTTTTGCTGTCTGACTTCGCGCCAAACATTATCTGAAAGTCTAAAACTGAATCCACCTTCCTGAATTTTCATTACTGTGTCTAAAAGGGGCGATACTAGTAATGGTAACCAGTAATGATTGTTATCTCTGTTTTACCTTATAGCGTTCAGGGTCGTTCCTTCTTGTACTGTGTCAGCCGCACTATATGTGATAGACAAATGGTTGATCTCTACTATGTTATATGACATGCATACAACAACCACTATACAGATATAGTAAACAGCTGGTAACCAACTGATGTCCGGGAAATCTGTGCACACCAGACAGCGATTGAACAGAAGAGGGGTCCCACAAGCCATCATAATCGTTCCCACTAAGTGCCATGACTTTCTGCGCCCTATCTTCTTGGACACCACTGGAATCTGAACACGGTCTCCCAAGTAGCCTGTTACTGGAGAAAGAATGGCGTCTGATACTTGGCCAATAAGCAAAGCCAATCCAGCTTGCGAAGCAGGCAAACGAATCACTTGCATAAAGAATATGATTGTAAAGGAGATAAACATCTGGCGGAATATCTCATTGAGCACACTTCCAACCCCACACGAAAAGCGCTGCTTGATGTTTAACTTCCGCTTTTGCTTTGTCTCCATTGCTGTTAGAAAAGAACAGACATAAAATATAGCAAAAACGTTTAATTAGAGCCTATTTCGCTTTTTTGTGAAACCGATAACGCGCAGTCTTAAATTGTTTACGTGGAAACCAGCTAGCATACTACCTTTGAAACTATACCAAGTTTGGATAAAAAGAGACAAAAGCATGTCTTTGTTCATAAAACTTTTCTGTATTTTGTTCAGGGAAATGTCGTTTGTTTTCCACGACAATAAACGATTAATTTTGTATTTCTTGCCATTTAAAATGTCAATATTTTGTGGCCACTGATTTACTTACTTCGTTCTCAAAACAACGCAAAAGGATTCGTTAAAAGTAAATTGGCAATGGTTTTTTGTGGTGTATTTTAAACGACAGCTCGCTACCAACATCCCTTAGGCAATAGATGATGGAGAGATTTTGAACCACGCTTAATAGGCAGATAGAAACTGCTAAGATCATTTCTTATGGATAAAACTGGCGTGAATCCTCTGATTTCCGTGTAGTTACAATGAACAGTAAACGACAGCTAAAGAGAAAACTTGATGACGTCGTAAAAATTCACGTGAACTTGACTCTAAATCTCTCTGATGAGTACGTTAGCTGGAGACTGAAAACGTGATTACCTGGATAACAAAACATAATCGTTATCATAAGAAGCCTGTGCGAAAGCTTCGATTATTACAGTCAAGCCATCTCTGCATTCCTACATGTTTAATGAGCAGTAAATTCACAAATGAGGTAGTTACTATATGAAATTTCTACCAGCTCAGTGTCCTTGAATTTGACGTAAGTGTCTTCGAAGCAATTTTATCCATTCAAAAATCTTTCAATCTGATCGAAAACAGAGAGCTTATTGTAAAAAATTCACTATTCGTCATGTATGCAGTAAATAAATGCAGTTTTGAATTTGATACTTATTAGGGCAACGACTAGCCTCCCACGCAGGCGTTTTTTATCCCTCCCAAAAACGTGCTCCCCTTAAAACGCCAGCGTGGGAGGCTGGCAACGACTAACAGATTCATTAACGGAATATTGGTGGGTACGCTTGACCTGGCTTGACTATGATGAAAGCGTGGGTTTGAAAGGGACAAGACTGCAATTAATTTGCATATATTACTTTAAAAATATAGTTTTTCAACGAAGCCCAGTCTAAACTGAAGGTTATAGCTAAACACGTAAGGTCGGTTATTTAAACGAAGTCTAACGTTTACGAAATCTCTGCACGTCCAGATCTCTTCCTTAGTGGGTTATAGACAAACGCTTTTCTAGTCTAAGCCGTATGCTTTCATGAAATTGTTCACGATAGATGGTGCTTACATTGAAGCGTTCGTCAAACTGAAAATAGCTTAGAGCGCGATTTTGTTAAACACTGGCTAAACTTCGTTTAAATAACCGCGTGGCCCTTCAAGCCAATCAGAAAACGTCTTATTTATAGACACCTTCAAGTCGTGGAGAGGTCGAACTGTGATGACAAAGGCAGGTCATTTTATGAAAAGTGCTAAATGAAATTTTCACGTGTTTCACGTGACTTTTTTTTTCATTAATATAATCGCGGTCGATAGGCCTTTGGTTAACCAATTAACTTACCCTTACAGGCCCCAAATTTACGGCACTTTCACCTTGTTAAACACATTACGACATATTAGTTAAAGAAAATTCAAAGTTTTTTGGGGAAACTATTGGCTTTTATCTGAATAACATAGTCGTAAAGAACTGTTTTATTGCTGTCTCCAGTGATTCGTGCTCCGTGGAAGTGATTCGGCTGAGTGGAGTCTAATTCGCTGGGGAAAAATGGCTTACAACGTAGCGCTCATTTTAATTTGTGAACATTGATTATTTTTACAAAGTTATTTTAAAATTATCTTTACAGTGACTTATATTTGTATCATCTTTCCTTTGATAGCGTATTTCGCGCTTAAACATAAGCATGAGCTTGAATGAATGTCGCTTTATTGCATATTAATTAAAGTTCGACTGTTGTGTCCTTATGCTCCTATGAAACGCAAATACAACAATTTATTACTAAAATAATTAAATACTAAAGTACTAGGATAATAAATAATTGATATATCAAGTTTTTTTTTTTAAGAAAAAGCTAAAAATGCCGTCAATTTTAAAGCATAAGCATAAGCTTGTTCTTGTTAGTGCTCAGGACAAATAAATGTACTTGCTGCTGACTGCATTATGAACTCGAAATTCTTCTTTTTAAGAATAAAAACGCCCCACAAGCTGTTGAAGCTAGGTAAGGCGTTAGTGATTTGTGAGGATTCAAATGGTGTTAGAGAGTACTGATAATCACACATCGCGTCAAATATCTTTGAGGGGGGTATTAGTTAAGTCCAGTATTTCTACCTACTCTGATCTTTAAGGAATGATGATATTGCAAACTTAGCATTTTGTGATGGTCATTTAAACAAGAAATATTCATAGCCAAAAAAAATGGCTTCCTGACTCACCTTTGAGAAGTCCTGAGAGGCCTGTTTTTCAACGAAACCCGAGTCTAAACCGAAGGTTATAGCTAAAGACTTTAGGTCGCTTATTTAGACGAAGTCTAACTTAGACCGCGTTTTAGGAAATCCCTGGACGTCCAGATCTCTTCCTTAGTGGGTTATTTTGAGAAGACAAACGCTTTTCTAGTCTAAGCCGTATGCTTTTATGAAATTGTTCACGATAGATGTTGCTTACATTAGAGCGTTCGGCAAACTGAGAATGGCTTAGAACGCGGTTTTGTTAAACACTGCCTAAACTTCGTTTAAATAACTGAGTGGCCCTTTGAATTTTAACCCTCTGAAGCCAATCAGAAAACGTCTTTATTTATAGAAACCTTCAAGTCGTGGAGAGGTCGAACTGTGATGACAAAGGCAGGTCATTTTATGGAAAGATAGGAAGTGCTAAATGAAATTTTCACGTGTTTCACGTGACTTTTTTTGTTCTTTAGTAATCGCGGTCGAAAGGCCTTTGGTTAACCAATTAGCTTACCCTTACAGGCCCCAAAGCTTCGTTTCCAGTGAAAAGGAAAGTATTGTAAGAGGCTTGAACAGTCTATGATCTGATTTGAACTCGCATGGAATTTTTGTTTGTTACTTAATGTCGTGCTTTTGAGGCTGTATAGCTGAATGAATTCTTGCAAATGCAACTCCACGTGAATCTGGGGTCAAGCCTTAGCAAATGACAATCTCAGTATCTAAACGTAAATCAACTGTTGACTATAATGTCTTAACAAAGAATAATTGTAAGAATCCCTTTTGACTCAGCAAACTTTCTACCGAGTTATTTCAATACCAGCTTGGAAATAGTCACGTGGTCATCTTTGTCGTTAATAAAACGGTAGACGGCGAACGGTAAATGGTAAACGTGAGGCTTCTATTGATCATGCCTCCAGTGCCGAGGTCATATTAATGTCAATCAGAAAACGTCTTTATTTATAGACCCCTTCAAGTCGTGGAGAGATTTTACGAAAAGATAGGAAGCGCTAAATGAAATTTTCACGTGTTTCACGTGACTTTTTTTTTTTCATTAGTAATCGTAACCGTGTACAGACGTCTTCCCTCCCTCAGAAAAAAAAATCGGGAGAAGAAACGTTTCTTCTCCCGATTTTTTTCTGAGGGAGGGGGGACGTCTGTACACAGGTTATAGTAATCACGGTCGAAAGGCCTTTGGTTAACGGCAATTAATTTACCCTCATAGGCCCCAAAGCTTCGTTTCCAGTGAAAAGGATAGTGATGTAAGAGGCTTAAACAGTCTATCATCTGATTTGAACTCGCGTGGAATTTTTGTTTCTTACTCAATGTCATGCTTTTGAGGCCGTATAGCTGAATGAACACGTCACTAAGGCTCGGAAGCCTCTATTGATCATGCGTCCCGTGTTGACGTAAGACAAAGAAGTGAGAGTGAGAGGTTGGTCAATCATACTAGGCTAGCGTTAATCTAACGTCCGCTTCCTGTTAACGTTCGTCACTCAAAAAAGTCTCTGCTTAAGCTCCTTGAAATCGAGTTTACCGCGGCCCTTCTCAATTAAGGCTGGTCTCGCTTGTAATAAAGTTAACATTCAATAGACATCTGCATGGTACTCGTATTAAAACTGTCAGCTGAACGTCTGAGAAATGACAGCTATACGAGGCTGAAGACATAGGAAATTGACTCATTTTAAAAGAGACAAACGTTTAAGGGGGAGGTGGACATTAATAAACAGAAATTCCAACGTTTACATGCTCCTGATATTTGTTAATATTTTTTTAAAAAAAAGTTTTCAACATAACTTTTAAGGTAATTCATATAATCAAACAGTCATAACTCAGCAATAAATCAGTTTCTTCAGGTAAACTATCAAAACCGACTGGCTCACACTGGTAAGTTAGCCTTTTGAATAACGTCGAAACGAGAACGCCTTTGTGCGTTTTTTAAATTCTTATTTTCAATTTTTATTTATAGACTTTATTTTGTCTTTTGTGTGGTCTCATGAAAGACATGCATGGTGCTTGAATTTGGAGTCAAAGGTTGGTTAACTTTACTTTAATCTAACTGTTTTCTCATACATATGAGATGGTAAAAGACATCCTTTTCTAATTTCTCAGCCTATTACTAGTTACTTAAGCTTTTAAAATGAGATTAAGATTAAGATTTGTATAAGCTATTTGTACGAGCTAGGACATCATTTTTACTACTATCAGAATCCTCAAGAGTTCGCTTTCTTGTGCAAATTAGGACTTTTGTCATTTAAACCTGATCTCTGGGATTTCCAAATTTTGATATGAAATGAAAAACTAAAAGGATTCTGGTAGTAGCAGTAAAATGACGCCATCGAGCAAATGGCCTATTATTAATCAACATCAACGTTGAGTATCAATCGTGGTTCAGTTTAGTCCGCAATCATTTGTCGCGTTTTATACACGGCCCTCTCTTGAGATTAATCAATATTCCAGGAGTTTATTCTAGGAGATACAGTTATAGTTTCGGAAATGGATTTGTCTCAATTTGAAGTCAGGGTCTGGTGGACGTTAGTGGACGTTCTGCAAGAGTAATTGCAGATCACGTTTTCTTAGTATAAAATCTTCTGATGTGAGCACCAGACAGTCACTTTGTGTGTTTAATTTCCCTACAGAGCTATTGAGAAACCATCACTTCGCAATCCATGCAGTTACGGTTGGCAGTGAAAAGGATAGTAATATAATTAATAAGAGGCTTTAACAGTCTATGATCTGATTTGAACTCGCGTGGAATTTTTGTTTGTTACTCAATGTCGTGCTTTTGAGGTTGTGCAGTTGAATGAATACGTGACTGATCATGAGGCTCGGAAGCCTCTATTGATCATGCATCCCGGGTTGACGTCAGACAAAGAATACCGTGAACACCAAAATATCAAGGACACCCAAAGTCAATTTTCGGAAAATACCTGTTCGGAAGACGATTTGAGATCTAGAATTTTCGGAACATTTGTTGTAAAATTTCTTGCTTGCCTGCCTCTCCTAGGATTTTCGAACTTCTAAAAAAAGATATAATTGCCCATCTTTCACGGATTTTTACCCTAAAAAGGTCACCTAGAATTTTCGGAAGCCTTTTTTCTGGTTGAAATTTTCGGAAAGCTAAGTTTTCGGATCACTAGTCTTTCAGCTAGGAAATCCGAACAGATGAAAAATTTTTAGGGATAAAAATAATGCGCAAATCTACCGTTTAAATACTAAAATACGTTTAATAATGCTATGTTTAAGTGGTTTTGAACTATATTCTAATTGGGTGCCCCTGAAATATGAATAAATAAAACCTAAATTTAACTTAAAGGTCCTAAACATAAACAAATGAACAACGTCTTAACAGCACTGTTTACATCTGCGAATATAAAGTTAATTTGAAATATTGCATGATATCATGATATTAATGATAAGAATTAAATACTACCTCCGGCTAACGGCCGACTCGGAATTTAGAAAATGCGCCTGGTTTAACAACCATATAATTATATATATATATATCGGGTTTTAATTGTTTCCCCTAACTTATACCAAGTCGCTTCAACTTATGACACACTAACTAACTTAATGAACGTGAAACTCAAACTGGAAAACTAGCACTCGGTTATGATCCTTAAATTCTTACAGTAAGGTAGCCTCAATTTCCGCGATGACTGAGTACGGCTATATATTTTCTCGACTCCAACAGAGGCTGGTGATCGAGCCTTGTAATAAAGACGACGACCCTTGTAAGATTTCTTTGATGAAAAGGAATCTTTAGATATTTTCATAGCTAGTGACGTGTGAAAAATAGAGTTCACATAAAGGACGCCTTAATGACGGCAGGTAAGAAAGAGAATTTAAAAAGCTGTGTTTAAAGCTTCAAGTCCCAAAATTGACCAACATCAATTTTCTCCCAACAAAATCAATACACAGTCAAGGGAAATGGTTATGAGAATTAGAAAAATGATCGCTTAAAGGGAAATGCTCTGGTATTTTATCAAATTTTCTTACTAATCTTTTAAGGAAATTTATGGACATCAGTTTGGAGAATTTGAGTGTGCCTATCATAATGGGTCAATACATAACAGTAATGCAGTATTTAATGAATTAACTGATTTACGTTGTACAGCCGAGCGAATCCTGCCGGCTAGTGAATCGGCTTCCAGTCCATTTGTCATTGGATTTGTAATTGCTAGATTGTTCCGTCATACTCCCATCCTTTTTTAAAAATAAAAATCAAACTTGATCATGAGGACTTTAAGTGGAGGGACACAGGCAAATGTAAAATTCTGGCTTTCATCTCAAAAGTAATCGATGAGGCTGTCTTTTGTCAGCTTGAGTACTTGGAGAGACACTGAGCTCATTAGCCTGCGAGAGGATCCGGGTTGTTTGGCTCTAGTTTCGGAGGGAGAGAAAAGACGACCAGGAATACATCTGATGTTTGCAGGCTATGAGTTCATTGGCCGGTTTGCCTGACACAATTTGGTGTTCCTCAAGGTTCGGTTCTAGGGCTGTTTTAACATCTTTAGTATAATTCCAGGTATAATTCCCCTTGGGAGGGCATTGATCAAAAGATGAACGAGGCTTTATAAACCTTGTTGTTTCACAAATTTATTAAATTTCAGGCTATTATGAACTATGCTACGCTAATTTCTGCGTTATTAAACAGTAGTATGATCATATAACGATTTCCTTTTTCGATCGAGCTTCCTTGCAGTTGGTTCCGAGTCAGTTCATTAGTTCATTGTTTTAAGAAAAACTAGCAAGACGATCGAGTCGGCTGCGTCCTCTGTTGAACCTTGGTGAGGTATAAAAACGAACTTGTCGTCCAGCGAAGAAGCCAAAATTGAATAGCTGTTATTTCATTGTGCCAATGGTAGCTGGATAGGATTCTCTTCAGTTTTGTCCAGATATTCCAAATGGAACTCGGCGTCCTTCTAATCTCTCTCAGGTTCTACGACAACGTGGAATGATTGAACGTGACTTGCTTCTGATTGATCACGAACTTGAGCGTTTTCATCAAGTGAATATTCTACAAGAAAAACAAACAAACAAGCAAATAAAACAAGCAGTGTGCCGTTTACAATGAATAGATAATTAGATATTCCTAAAATGAACAACGCGTTTGTTAGACAAGACAATACAGCAATTTTATTTATACCACACACCGAAAAAAGACATTAAAAAAGAGACAATACTACTTATGTAAGGTACAAGCCACCTGGAAAATAGCTAAAAAGCTAATCTAGCTTATATTAAAGAGGTTGTTTCATGGAGACATAAGTGGAAACGCCCCCATGAACTGCTCACTGCTCCTCTTGTTCCGTTTCCGTACACGATCAATGCCATGGATCTAGGATCCAGAAAATTTAGAAAAAACTCTGAGTGCATACTGATGAATCAAGATTTTTGAAGAAAAATTCAACTGATAATTCTATAGACATTCAACTAATTTTAGAAAAAAAGGATGAAGGCCGTGCCTCCCCTTCTAGATCCACCCATAATGTATGTTTCAAAAGATCCAACCATAGTGTTTGTTTGGGCAAAAGAAATCGACAACAGTAAAATATTGAAATTGATGCCTGTTAATTTGAATTTTAGTAATAAACAGGCTTTTGCTCAAAATTACTTCAGATCCTAAGGCGTCTTCACTGCTTTAATTCAGCGGGACGTTTGATCAGATTTATTTTTCTCACCAATCCTCGCCGCTTGGGACGTTTTCAGAGTCTCTTCTGGCGAAACGTCCAAAGCGGGGTGGAGCGAGGAGAAACGGCTGTTTTGGCAGGCTAGTTAATTCAGTTTGAAAGAAACGGCCTCTTAACACTATTCGTAGCACAAGCAAACGACAGCATTAGTTTACGAAAGGCTGATGTAAAACAATCCATTCAGGGCGGTCTAGCAAAGGAGATGAAATTCGATC